ACCTGCGCGTATAGCTCCCAGCGAAACGCGGGCCAGCTCGTTTGTGCTTCGCCGTGTATTTTGTACTTGTCCATTTGCTTACATGCGTTTCCACTACACGCGTCGTTACGAAGAGTTAGCGTCACTGGATCCTATGCTGTTGCCCGCTGTATTAATATCCATGCCCGCGTATACGTATCTCGAAGGATGACCGATTTCCGTATATTACCGCAGCTCTGTTTTGGAACTATCGAGAAAACAAATAAATACCGACAGGTTTGATGTTGCCAAATGCGAAATCCAACTGAGATCATTTTGGGACTTCCGCGAATTTAATTTATTAAAAGTTACCCATGATAAAGGTATAATGGTATAAAGACTGTAAAGAATTTTGATGAAGCCCATAACTTTTTTTATCCTCTAATATAATTTTTTAACAAAATGTAAGCATATTTTCTCTTTGAAATACAGTAGATGGAAATTACTTACTAAGAGCGCCTCGACAAAAGTTATATATATTATCAAACTTATAGTTAGGCTTTTATTATGTTTATGTAGTACATATATATATATATATAATTTATTTTAAAAACTAAAAAAATTTTATTTTAAAGAGTCTTAAAAAATCTATTAAAATAAAAAACGTAACTTATTAAGGAAATTCTACAAATAACAATAGTTATCAGCTACCTAACGTATGTATATCTGACGAGCAAAACATGAATTTTCAGCGTGAACAAGGTAGATAGAGACTTGACACTAGTCTAGATTAGGCTTATGTAGTAAGTATGTTTCTCCGGGTCTAGGAAACATGTCGAGAACGGTTAATGGCTCTCGACCGTTTCCGCCGAAGTATCTGTAAATTCTATAAGTTACATATTGCGGGAGAAGTTGGTTGTAATCCACCAACTTCGAAACTCGAGTGTCTTTGTATAGCCAAGCCGGGAGCCTCGTCGAGCGGAGCACGCTGCATCAAAGTAGTATGAAATAACTTTCGCGAGTCCGTGAAGTTCTCGTTTCCCATCCGGTCGAAAATTATTTCCAAGAGCTCAAGTTTCTTAAAGTAATGTCCTGTCGGCTAACTATGACGTTTGCATTTTCATGTCGAAGGGCAATTCTTCAATTATGAGAATTGATTTCATACACAGTTTCTCTCTCTCTCTCTCTCTCTCTCTCTCTCTCTCTCTCTCTCTCTCTCTCCCTCCCTGGCTCTCCCCTTCTCCTTTGTATAAAATACAAAAAATTGTATTAATAAATTTTAAAATAATGAAAATGAGACAAAATTAATATGATTGAACTCTTATATAACAGATATAGAATTTATTTTTAAAAAAATATAGAATCTCATATAATAAACATAGAATTTATTTTTATCAAGTCCAAGTGTCAATTCATTTCTATCAATAGACACCACTCGATTTTATGTGATAAAAGTTATTTAATATTTTACTGAAAAGCAGCAAAAAAAAGATTAGATTAGACCAAATAGTCTATATTTGACCAGAATAATGAAAAATACCTACATACACAGCTGATGAATTGAATATAAGCACACCGTGCCAGCATTAGTGACGATTAAACAAGAGGGAAAAGCGTTTCTACTAGTTTGACGTAACACTCACCCAGGCCATGATTCCAACATGGGGAATCGCGTCCCGTAACAACCGACTCCCCTGGCGGTGTAGCGAGAAAGCGAACGAAAACTAACATTGAGGGCTGGGAGCAGTTCGTAACTCCTTGGAACTCGTTGGAACTGGTAACATCTTTGCTATTTCTCGAGTGACAACAGCGGAACAGGTTGAAAAGGCATAAAGCGACGTTTCCCTGTCGCGTACGCATCGCCCAGCACACATCTTCGCAGTCTGACGCTTTGATCTTTTACGTGTCGCGATGCCATCGAGCATCGAGGGATGTGCTCCCACAACTGAACGGACGGACGTTCAAACGTCATTTTGTTACTTTGGACATGGTGTCTTTGACATAGTTGACCAAAAGGCCACGTTAGGAAGAAGAAAGATGGCACGAAGGAATCGTATTTCTTCACTCGTTAAATCAAATTTGCCCCGACAAAACAAAGTGCGCTTACATCGTTCGGAGCAACGTTATAATTACTCGTCGTTATAAGCTTCGTCGAAAGCGAATTAAATCGTTGGTGAGCGCGTCGAATCGGTGCGCGATGAAACGAGAATTTTATCCCTTTGGTCCTTTGTCGAACGAGCACGGTCGACTAATATAATATCGGACTTATCAACGTCGAAACGCCTGTTAATCCATTGGCAACAATAATTTTTGGCTTAATTGTTCGATCATCTTCGATGAACTCGAAATGTGATATTTATGGGCACGTATAATATTGGCAGCGAGCCGTGCCAAGTTCTCCATTATTCGTTCATAAGGGGATAATTCAGATAAACATACATGCGCGACGCTCGATGCATCAATGTTACAAGCGTTTTAGTATCGCGCGGCAATAATTATCGTGCGTTTCTCCAGCGCTCATTTAATATTTCAGGCATGATGCGAACAAAAGTGTGTCGGATTTCCCCGGCGGATGCGGGGCGGGGTGGGTATTATATTGACTGGATGCGAAACAAGCGTACGACATTGAGATCGCAGCTCTCTCTCATTGTACGTTGATAATCCCAATAAAACATACCGTCGGGTATCCGATCCAATACGAGTGTATGTATCGACGCGCGGTGCATTTTACGCGCATTATGCTCCCATTATTAAAACATATTACCGGCGTCCGCCGCGCGGCAACTCAACGAGCCTAGAATGCGAGCGTAACGCCGATAGGGTTGATAGATCACGCATTTCCCTGACGCCCCGTCGATGAGCCGAGCACGGGGTGCGCGGCTATTTCATTTTCCATCTCAGTGGATTTGCCGGGGCTAATCGATAATCGCACCACAGACACGCCCGACGCTCGCTGCGATAACAGGCAAGCGAATGGAAAACCAACTTCGCCCATCGCGACCATTCCGCAACGTTATCAACAGTCGGCAGCCTTGGTTCTTACCTCTGCAACAAAATTATTTTCTCGAAGTTATAAATTGTACGAATTTAACAAAATTCTACGCGAGAGATCTCGTCTGCGTGTAAAAGTGCGAAAGATGTCAAAAATTGGGAGCCTCTTAAACATATATATATATATTAATATAAAAAAGTTTGATTGCATTAATTGGAATTTTGATTGAAAATGGACAAGAATTTTCTGATTGAATCTATTATAATTCTATTTGAAGTAACCAGAATTCTGATTAATCAGAATTTCCTGGTTCGTTCATTTTCAACCAGAAATTCTTTTTAGTGTACAACTTTTTTCCAGGCATTTTCTGTCGTCTAGCGATTTATCGATATTCACGCGTATCAAATCCTATTGAAATTAGTTTACTCTAATTGATTTCTTATATTAATATTACATTTAAATCTTAAAAAAATTATGTTTTTTCAAACATTATTCCTCAGACAATACGCATGTCTAAAAAATATCATAAAAACATTAAAAATATCTAGACAGTATTGTGGATAAATGTAAGATTCCTTCAATAATGACTTGATCAAGTTCCATCTACGCGCTATCGACTGCAGAAGTCATCGCTAAACTGGTACCGTCAGCTGGTTACATCCGGTTGCTGGGAATACAGTTGATCGCGCGTCCATGTAACGTCCGATCGAATCCATGCACTCCGTTTTCTTTCGTGTTGGGCAATAGAGCGTCGCGCTCTCCGCAAATTGATGCCGGAAATCAACCCACGCGACGACACTGCGACGTCGTTCCGATCTTCTCATCCGAGCATGCATTTCTAAAGCTAATTAAAATTATATCGCCGCATGGCGCGAATACGTCATATTAGCGTAACGGAGGTTCATTCTAAAAAATGAGGTCGACGACCATAGCGTCCTATCGTGATGACGGCAATAACGGAAGAAATTTATTGAGATGAATGGCGGGGCGCAAACAAAACCATGAGAACTATGGGAATACGTCGTTAACGCGATGCGACGTAAAAGCGCCGACCACGTTGCACCGAAATTACCACTTTCGCGCTGGAGAATTAAGGAACCTACCTAACGGTCAACGTAAAGCCCGACATAATTGTCGATCAACGTAACAGCTTGCCGAGTACAATCTTTGATAGCAAAAGTTACTCGTGGATTACTCACAGAAATATATTTTGTCGAGAATTTACAGTATCTCGAGAACATATAGTGAATGCAAAAAGTATTCAGTATTGGGAAGACATTCTTTTAAAAATCTTGTTTTTAAAAATAAACTAATTAGTAACTCATTAATAAAAAATAAGATTATGTATATTTTTCAAAACTACTTTATCATAAAGATATATAATAATTAAAATTTATTATCTTAATAAACGAAAATGAAAAATTGTGTTATTTAGATTCACAAAAAATATACATACAATCAAGAAATTTAGCTTCTAGCATCAGAAACTCGCATAGTTGCAAGATATGACAAATTGTACTTATTGTAAAAAATTGCTAATCAGTATTTATTTTCTATAAATAAGGCTTTTTTCTAATTTTTTAATAAGGCTTTCCGTACAAATACTTTTTATATTCACTGTACTAGTATGCAGCTAGAAACAAATACCTTGATTAATTCTTTATAAAATATTTTATAGACAAGGGGATGAAGGTTATACGTGTGAAATATATCAAAAATATACATTTGACGTATGAAATTTTAACTCCTTTCAAAACAAAATACGTATCTAGCCAATCGTTCTATTTTTGAATAAAATATCGAATAAAATTCAAATAAAAGAATACATCTTTCAACATGTTTTCCGCTGCTCCATTTACTATATATTTCACCAGTATAGTAAAGTTCCATTTACTGGGCAAGTTCTTTTCTGTTTTTATTAACCGATCGATCGACCTTACGGGAACTTTCGATCGTAACGGATAATGTCAACGTTGGAGTTTCGCGGTTTTGTTTGGCGATACGCTATTGCTATGGTAACTTTGCGCCTTGTTTGTGCGCGCGCATTTTCTTCACTTTTGTACACGTCGCGAATAATTCTTACAATCAACTATTACCATTACAAGAGGCGATGAGCGACATATTTCCGGTATAAACATACATCGCCTGAATGAACGATAAGCTAATTAATTAAGCTGATGTCTAACAGTTGCAAGTATCATCGATTCGTATCAATTGGTCGAGTTTGAGCGGGGTCACAGGTAAGGGTCACATTTGAAAGCCATTTAAACGACGCATTAATTAGCGGAATTACTGCATTAACGGTAATTGGAACGGAGCGATTGCTACGCTCTCGCGAGATGTAACTATTCACGTTATTTGCGTACCACAAATATCCCTTTGCACTATTAATGCTTAATTTAATATTCTGAATTAATAAATAACGTTTATAATAAACTTGTTCCTTTATAACAGAAAATTTAATTATCCTCACCTTTTCTCTTATCTTATTTTTTACACTCAGCTTCATTATTATTTCAACGCTTTAATTTTGTTTTTGATACTTTAATTATTACGAATTTATTAATTATTAAAGAGAGACACTTTTTTTTACCTACAATGTTCTCGTTTGTAATAAATTGTATTCATTTGTCAAATATTATGCGTGTCTCGTGCGGAAATGATAGGAAAAGTTACCTGTAAAGGTATCTCATCCTGCTTTAAAACTAGACACGATGAAAATTCGTACGCAGCGGCGGTGCACAGGGGTGTGTTCAGGAATTCAGAGTACATCATTTTATTCCTGTTACACACTGAATGTTAAACAAGGATAAAATGACACCTGGATAGATCCAAGTGAAGTTTCTGAACGCAGCTGGGATGTAGATCTAAGGTCTACAAATTTAAAAAGTTTTTCTCTCTGGTTAAAGTTGCAGTATAAAAATCTGAAACAGAGAAGAGAAACGTGAGGGGAAAAGACGTGAAAAAACAACGAGCAACAGATAAGCAAAGACAAGCAGCAAGATGCCAATTGATTGTTATTACTTCCCTATAAGTCCACCCAGTCGCACTATTATATTACTCGCAAAAGCACTAGGCATTCACTTTAACCTGAAGATCGTAAACGTTCCAATGGGGGAGCATTTAAAGCCGGAATTTTTACAGGTGTTTCAGTTTATACTGTTTTTTGCAAAAGATTTAGTATCGCTTAAGGTGACACGATCAATAATATTGAATCAGTAATACAATATGCATCAATATTTTTACAACCTTACGTTCTTTACAACCTTACACGATCAGTATTAATGACAATATTTGTCACTTTAGTTTTACGTACGTAATAATCTATTATTGACAATATTTGTCACTTTAGTTTTACATACGTAATATCTATTGTACTGTGACATATTGTGACGTGGTGAAACAATACTGATACTTAAGAATCAAATTTTAATTTAGTTTTATTTTAGATTAATCCGCAACACACAATACCAGTCATTGATGACAACGGTTTTATTTTGTGGGAAAGGTAGGCGATGGATTTATATTCTAATCTATAATCAAGCACTTAGCATTATTTCGCAATTTGTGTCATTACAGTCGTGCTATTATGGCTTATTTAGTGAGCAAATACGCGAGAAATGACTCTCTTTACCCGAAAGATACGAAAGAAAGGGCAAAAGTCGATCAAATGATGTACTTTGATGGTGGCACTCTTTGGCCCAAAGTATTTAATTGTTATGTACGTATTGATTTTTATTCTAAAATTTAATTAATTAATATTACAATTGAATTTGCAACGTTTATCCTTAATAAAATTGATTTTTCTCGTGAGTTTTTATTCAGTTGCATTCAGTAAATTTATCTTTTTTACATCATTTAATTATAATTACAAAATATCATCTATATTTTTGGAACATTCGGAATTATGTAGTATGTTATAATCTTTATCCTTAATGAAATTGATTTTTCTTGTTAGTTTTTTTATTCAGCTGTATTCAGTAAATTAATTTTTTTACTATTTTTTATAATTCATTTAATTATAATTAAAAAATATCGTCTGTTTTTTTTGACCATTCAAAATTACACAATTCTTTTTTTATATATTATTTGTTGACACGAGAAACATTGGATAAAATTGTCATCGTTTAGATGCCACTTTGTCGAGGTCAAGCGGATTCAGTTAATGAAGCAGATGTAGCTCAATTAGAGAAATCGTTTGAAGTGTTCAACGCTTTTCTCGATGGCAAAGAATTTGCGATCGGTGATAATCTAACCATCGCCGATTTCACTATCAGTACAACTATTTGTGTACTACTAGTAAGTCTATATCTTTGCGAAGGATGATTTTATCGATCAGTTGTAGCCAAATAAACCGAAGCCGATTTTTTAATTGCAGTGTTTTGACTTCGACATCAGCCGTTACGATAACGTTGCCGCGTATTACGAGCGTTGCAAGGAAACCCTGGAGAGATTCGGGTTCGAGGAGGTGCACGCTATGGGTGTTAAAGCGTTTACCGAGATGTACCACGCGAACCTACAAGAATCTAGTTAACGTGAATATGGATATTTGTGCACGCCTAAAGCGAAGGATCGATAGTAACTCGTTTACCTGAGATCGAGATTAGACATGGAATCTCATTATTATACTTTATAGAATTTAAAATTCACTTTTTACCTTCGCGTTCCTCGGCGTTTCAACAGCTCTGTTATAATAAACCAGATAATATAAGTGCTCTCAAAGTGTTGTTGTTATTGCATACTTAGCTTACCTAGCTGATCCTTCGCCTAGAGCTTATATTCTGCAATATTTATAATTTCTTTCTCTGTACATGATAAAGCAAAAAACTACAATAAAATGTGTTAAAATATATATAAAATTAAGTTTGATAAAAATATACATTTATAGAAATTAATTTATAATTAGTTTTGTAACTAAAACTTACTTCTTCTTAGGTCTTTTATCTTCCTCAATACTTCAACTCTCATTAGTTTTATAGCCACACTTCCCGTAGATGGTATTCACAATGAAATTTATAAAGCTAACAAGAATCAATATTCATCCTGCGAACATTGAAAGAATATAATGGCAGCGTCGAGCCGCGAATTATATAAAGTCAATGGTACCGCATATCTCGCTTTGTCATCATTACACTTCATTTTCTTAATTACAGCGTGACGTCTAGTCATGCGAAGCATAAAAGTTTTCACATGCATTAAACGTATTATTCTTCTTTAGCGTGTTGGGACTAAATAGATAACAATCATTGAAACAAGATAAAAGCCTAATACGTGATGAATGTTTAAGAGTTAAGCTTTAAAACAGAAAAAATAATATTTTGTATTAATTTTAAGTCTGTTAAGAATTGAATAAACATTAACATATTGAAAATAAGCTATAGTACAGACATATTAGTGGCTGTAGATGACAATAAAAAAGCATTAGAAAAAGATGACGAATCAATAAATGAGGAAAAGAATAAGTCTATTCAAACCTAAGTTTTTTTTCCATTATATCTTTACATAAGCAAGAGAAAAACGAATAGATCGTACTTACGGATTGTCGCGCACGTAATATTCAAATTTTACATAGCTTACTTATATTTTCTATAAAAATAATCTCTAAATTTTTTGTCGTTAGAAAGTTGAAAATAATTATTGAAATAGAAATTAATACTACGCAAAATATGTCGCTAGATTTTTTATTTTGATTTAATTATAAAATAGAGAATTATAAAAATAGAGTTCACAAATTAGATAACTTATATTTTGATTAATTTGAAACTGACCATTTTAATTATATATTAGATAAATAATATTTTTGAAATTATGAACTATTGAAAAAGAGAAGATTTTATGATTCAAATTTCAAGAGTAAGTATAAATAACGCAACGTTCATGTTTATATTGAAAAAATATATATTTAATTTATTATATATAATTGTTGAATTGTATTTTAATAATAATAGAATTGTATAAATAAAGAATTATAATATCAACATACTTTAGACATAGTAAGTAGTGCCAAAAAATCATAAATAGTATGGAACACACACGTACATATACAACAATTAAAAAAATTATAGACACTGCTACACGTTAATAGTCACTGGAAAATTTAATAGACATGGTTATGCAGGTAAATGTTTTTACTTCCAACAATATATAATTAAAATGGTTAGTTTTAAATTAATTAAAATATAAACTATCTAATTTCTGAATTCTTTTTTCACATTTATATTTTGTAATTAAAATAAAAAAATTTAGCAATTTTTTACATAGTATTATTTTTTATTTTAGTCATCATTTTCTATTTCCCAACAATAAAATTTAATAATTATTTTTATTAATTATTCTTATTATTATTTTAAAAATAGTTGGATTATTTTTTTATTTTAACAACATAATCACAACATTATCGCAATGGCAATATAAAACGTTGTTTTTTATTTTTTTTTATATTGAGTCATTTTATTAAAATTCGATGATTTAAAAAGGGTTAAGTAAATCAGCTTTTGGCACAACTCGTTCTTGACATTGATCGATCGGTTAAAAATTTTTGTTGTTGAACAGTAAACGAAATACCTTATGTACAAACAAGAAAATTTATAAAATATACATATGTATTACGTTAAAAAAAATAATAACTTATAAAAAGTTATATTTCGTATGCATTATTTTTGTAATACTGCTATATAAAATATAATTATATAAGTGCTGCATATAGCGATGATACATAAACTGTACAGTATAATTTTAATATAAATATTTTTTATTACAAAATAAGTTCTTTTATTTAGTTTCTTTCTTTATTTACATTCAATTATTTTACGCTTTATATTATTTGATTACTTTGACGGTTTTAAATATTCTCGTAGACTCGTATCTTGCGTGTATAATCGTTTAATCGTTTATCTCCGTTGATACTGCCTGATATTGAGTATAAACATGTATGATTGCCTCTGCTCTATTATTACAAATAATTACGTAACAACCAGTGAGTAAGCAGTGTATGACGATAACGAAACGAGAATTTTACAGTCAAATAGAATTCAATCCATTCTAGACTGGCAAGAAGCTTATCTCATTTGTCGATACATGATAAAGCAATTTTACCTTTCCTCATTAATAATCAGATATTTATAATTCATTAAATGTATAAACGATATTATGTCTTCATTGGAGTAATACATGCAGTTATTATATTATTTGATTGTTATAATTTATAGAGGTATAAAAAAAATTGTTGTTTTATTATACATATAATAATACTTTACATGTATATATTTATATTTATATATGTATAACCTTGTAATTATTATAATAGTTTCAAATTTTATACACATAATATGTTATTATATAAACATTATATTATGTATACATGTACATAAAGTATATTTTAAACATATATATTAATTAATAAGTAACTATACGAAAAAACTTTTTCAAAAATAAACTATAGTTTTTACTTGACTTGCAGTAGCAGACTTAAGAACACGCATACTTTATGTTACGAGAATCATGGCCGTTAAAATCCACTTAACTTTAACTGCTTAGAAGAACGATCTATACGAGGTGAATCTAGGCTTTTTCTTATAAAAAATTAGAAAAGAAATAAGCTTCCTAGAAATTTTATTCTTTTGCGCCCACAAAATGTAAATTTTTTTAAATAAAAATATATTCCCATTGCATAAATCTCAATTCTTCTCAATATATTTTACATGTAGTAGAAAACTAACAAAGTTATATATAATATACATATATGGATATATATATAATAATTTTAATGCTGTTATGTGAGAAAAAATTTTTAACAAATGAATCTGATCTAACCGCTTATGCTAACCTATCGACTTTATTAACTTAATCGCTTTATGTTAGTTAGTTTCGCGAAGAATTAATTTGCTTTGTAGAAAATTTCCAAGTATAATTGTGTTAAAAGTTTAAACATGCGGCCGAACCGCAACTAGCTAATAATTCGATAGAGCTACTTATGCGATAATGCTTCTCATGTTTTCCGGAGAAGTTGTTAGACGGTCAACCGCGAACAATTAAAACCATCCATCCGTTTTTGATCAAGATGTGTCTCTTGAATTTAGAGCAAATGTTAATTTGAAATAGCTTTTTTAGTATTTATTACTTATATATTATATCTTAACATCTTATGCGCTGCATGTTTGCATGGGAATACAACATTAATTCTGTGTAGTTCTAGAAAAGAATGTGCCACAATTTTACAACAATTACTTACGTAAATCAACACAATCGATTACGTTAGGTCATTTGTCGCTGACTACAGTTGGCAAAATAATCAAAATTCCTTTTGTTTTATAAACTTACATAGAATCACACTTAACTTCTATATACTTTCGCAGATGATAATTATAACAATTACAGCATTGTGTATTAATGCTATATGTACATATACATATGTTAAAATTGTATTATTCTGTTCAAACTATAATCATATCTGATGTATCAAGAAATTACATAGAATTATTGCAGAACGAAGATTATACAAATTTCAATGTTACTGTATTTTATACAATTCTAAATAAAATAAGTAATATTTTATTTTTAAAGAGCGAAAAGTTTGATTGAACATTTGAAAAAAGCAAAATTTTGGCGTTCCAACTGACAATTATTTATTCGCAAAAGAGTCACGAAACGTAAAAGCGTGTTAGTGTACAATTTATAGGCGTACACAAAGGTTAAAACGTCATAGTGTATAAATGGAAAAATAAAATTGAATACGACATACTGGAGCGCGTGCACATATAACACACACATGCGTTCGGGTGTTCCATTCAGTTACGGATTATCTGCAGTATTTTTCTTTAGCAAATATTAAGTTAGGAGAAACCCATCTTTTTAATACACAAACCGAAGTATCCAGTACTCAACTCTCAAATAAACATCATTTAGAACAAACGTAAAGTTGTTTGAAATTAAATAAAGAAGTAGAGGAAATGAAAAAGGAGAGAGAAAAGAGTTTGCTATTGTAACTTAATATTAGAAAAGTTGATATCTTCCATCGCTAATTTCTCAAGAGAATCATATTTGGCCATTAAAATTACTGATTTTCTTTTTTACTTTTACTTTCGCCTATGTAATTCTTGTTTCCAGCATTAACAGTGTACTATCAAAATACACAGTTTCCCATTCTTTATATCCGTATGATGATGCGCGCAATTTATCAAATTAATAATACAATTTATCAAATGTGCGTTGATGTAGGAAGGTGAAACCTTGAGAGTCATGGCTACACAGATACTTGAACCAATACTTTCACTTGCTATCAAGTGGTTGTCTACCGTTGGCTTCTCCAGAAAATGGAATTCCGTATAAATAAATGACTGAAATTTATATAATTGAAATTTATATAATTTTTAGAAGTATAGTCACTGATACAAGGAACGGATGATCAAAGAATAGAAATGAAACTTCCATTGAGTGATGAGTGTGTATCTTTATTTTAGTCCAGTCTGATTTTGCGTTTGCACGATTCAAAAGATGTCAACGTTCTGCCCGCGGGCAGTCGAGTGACCCGTCTCCTAAAAATCTATTGTATTTATCTCTCGGTCGCTTGAGACAATTTCGTTGTTTCCATTTAAAATTGACGCAATTCTTTTTTCCTATCAAATCAACTTATACAGCATATGCTATTTGTGCTAAATTCACACGAAGCTTATAGTCATGTTAACAATTCGGCTATAACAAAAAATAATGTGCACCG